TTTTGAATAATTCCTGAAATTGTTTCAGGTTGTTGGCTGGAGGAGAAAAAGAGAATGGAAACACAGCTTCGTTGGGGGATGAAGAGGACTGTTGTACTGGAGACTGGCTATCTGAATCAAATTGAGGTAAGTCATCGTCTTTTTCTACAGGACTTGTCTGAGTTGTGGCTGATGGTGAGGGTGGAGGATGGTGTAGCCAGACAGGAACCCCCTTGTAACATCCATTTTTGCTTGCCTGGAGCATACAGGGCACACAGAGCAGAAGGCCCAGGCTGTGTGACCGTGAATGGCTGTAAACAGAGATACGCCAATTGCTGACCAAGAGGCTGCCAAGGAGTGCCCTGCCAAGGAGTGTCCTTGACTTAACCCATATTGATACGAACACACATCCATCCGCGGGGGGAGGAATCTCTTGCCCAGTAAAAAAAAATGTCTAGTATTCACAATTTAGTTATCTCTCTTGCAAGTGTAAATTAACTTGAAACTTGCTTGTAAGAACTGGCGCCACAAAACGGACCAGTAGAATTCGGCATCTTAGATAAGAAAGAGGATACGGGCCCCCAGGGGTATAAAGATAGGTCCAGCAGCGCATTCTCTTTGAGTGTCAATCTACCATCTATCTGCTGGTCGGGTTAGGTGTTTGATCTCCCGAGGTTCCAAGGGGACGCCCACCTCGTATTCGTCTTTCCTAGGAATTGAGAGACCGGCCCTGGCCTGACACGCTGGAGTCGAGAGGCACAGAAAGGGGTAAAAATTGTACCTGGATGTGGTCCTTTGTTTAAGTATATATATACATAGACTTAGAGCTCTTTAAAGATTAAGCTGTCACTTGGTACCATTATTTCTATTTTCTATCTTTATTTTCTTTGTAACCATTTTTAAAATCTGTATTTGTTAGCATTTAAGAAATAGAGCAATAGCCATTGTAACCATATGCTTTTATAAGTCTTTTAATAAACCTGTAACTGTTTAAGCTTTAACCTGACTCCTTCAGTTGCTGTAACAGAACCAAGCACAATTTAAAAGAACTTCAGCCGGTCATAAAAGGGACAGACATAGGGAGAGCTTGGGCGTTTGGATCTGTGTCACTCCCAGGTGACAAGATCCGTTGGGGCACCTTTCCAGCCTTTCCCAGGCTGCCCGCTGCGAAGGAACCCCTGTGTTCTAGCAGTTAAAATCTAAGGTGTAATAAGCTCTTTCTATATAACGGGGCGTCTGTTGGCCTGCTGGCCACCCTCTGCGACGGGACCCCGGTCCTAGCAGTAAAGACACGGACGTTAAACCTTTTCTCGGAAGCATACACACACACACTGCCCTGACCGTCGGCTGACAGATGGGCTGGAGAAGATTGAGCAGTCTGAGGAGAGTCTGCTGATGTGCATGTCAGGGCAGCCACAGTTGATTGATGAGATCAGTTCTGATGTGATGGTCAAGTGTGATATTGGTTTCATGGTTCCCAGGATGGCCACTGGGGCTGGTATTGTTGAGGTGGATATGGCCATGGGTGACTGAAGCAAGAATACTGAGGTTGGTGATATGGTGGTCTGTGTCTGTTTGAGCGCCAGGAACTGACTGAACTAGTTGATGACAAGCGCTGGGAGGAAAAACAACTCCCATGTCTGATGTTGGGCCCAGTACCCGGGAATGATAACGTAGGGGAGAAAGAAATATCCTCAGAGAAACACTGGTGCCAACTAGGTTTCTTGATTCTAGAAGAATGCGCAGGTGTTCTATCAATTGGCACCAGTGAGGAAGGCACCGGTAATCGTGTTGCTCGATGCCAGGACCCTGTTTCATGTGGTCTCAGCTTCGGCACTTTCAGTGCTGAGGTCTGCTTGGGTGCCATTGTGTGCCAGGATTCTGCTGGTTGCAGTGGTGCCACAGTTTCTTTTGGTAGAGGCGGTTTGTCTTCCGTTGTGGGTGCCGAAGTCATCGGTGCCGGAATGGTGCCTTTTCTTTTAGATTCCGGCTCAGAGCCTTTCATCGGTGCCGTCTTTCACTCGTGCGCTGTGCTGGATGTTGATGGCACATGATGTCAATGGTATGGCCAGTAAGGACCATGCCAAGGAGGCCTGGGACTTATGAGAGTTCTGAATAGGTGATAAATTGGCCCTTTTTTTCGGTGTTACTAGTTCCAAGGGGGCAGTCATCTTGGCTTCTGGCGGTTGAAGAGATTTCTGCCAGAGTAGGTTTTTAAGCCTCATCTCCTGGTCTTTCCTGGTCCTGGCGGTCAAACTTGGCAATGTGAGCTTTTCTGCACCACATGGCCTTCGCCTAGACATTTTATAGATGAGGTGTGCCTGTCTGAGGTGGGCATTGAGTCTCTGCATGAATTGCATGTTTTAAAACCAGGGGAGCCTGGCATAATACTGAACAGGGATGAAGAACTTGGATCAAGGAAAAAAGGAAAAACAACCAGGGAGTAGTGTTTGTTTGTTTAAGAAAACTAACTATTAAACACTAAATACACTAAAACCTATGAACAACTAATTTTTTAAAATCTTTTTCTCAGTGAGGCTCAGTGAGGAGAGCACTGCTTGAGACTCCATCTTCTGCTGAGGACAGTAGAAAAGGAAATGAGGGAGACTTGTACCATGTGCACAGCTAACAGACGAAAACTACACGCGCAGCATGGAAAGGCACTGCTGGGCTAAAAATCTCCCATCACCAGCATGAGTGGAGTACACACAGGGACACCACTTAAAGGAGAAATTTATTGTACTTTGTTTGGAACCTAGAGGGGGTTGTTTATTGCTCAATTTGGGCTCCCTGTGGGTTCCGGCTGTGCAGATCATGGACCAGTGACAGCAAAGGAACACCTAGGATAGTCAGATTCTTAAAAACCATCCTTGGAAAGCAGCTGGGAACTGAAATGAAAACAGAGGCTAAGCCCCCAATCCAAAATGCTTGGTGGATAAACTCATACTATAGCAGCTAAACATATATGGCAGCTAAGCATAGTTCCCCTTATTCAGAGGGACAGTGCATAAGTCGGTTGAAGGCTGTGGTTGAAGGCTGTGGTTCTCAAAGTGCAGTCTGCAGTGTACAGGAGGTCCCAAGTAGTTGACTGAAATGAAAACAGAGGCTAAGCCCCCAATCCAAAATGCTTGGTGGATAAACTCATACTATAGCAGCTAAACATATATGGCAGCTAAGCATAGTTCCCCTTATTCAGAGGGACAGTGCATAAGTCGGTTGAAGGCTGTGGTTGAAGGCTGTGGTTCTCAAAGTGCAGTCTGCAGTGTACAGGAGGTCCCAAGTAGTTGCTTGAGCTCAGCCCTATTCCCCCCCCCCCCCCCCCCCACACACGCG